CGAATAAAAATAATTTAACAGAGTTGCATTTTAACATGTATCTTTTGATTTTCTATATAGAATTTGCAATTTTTTAATTTGAATTTAAAAATTTTTTTCAATATATATTATTTTTATTTTAATGAAAATAAATTAAATAAGTATTAATTAAATAGAAATTAAATCTCTCTGTTTTTATAAATTACAGAGTTTAATAGTAATAAATAAATGAATAATAACATAAAAAAGATGGATAAATCGGTTATGTGTAATTTTATTTTTAATTATGATGAATTAAATAACACGGATAAATGTTCTATTTAGTTAATTTATTTATTCATTAGTAACATTAATTAACGTTTACTTCTTTAAATAATAATGTAAAATGACTTACTAAATAAAAGAATGTACATGATAATAAATAATAGAAGAAATTAAATAATACATAGTCTCTTATAATTTTGCAGTTAGTAACGAAATTTATGGTAATTGTTGTTTAAGAATATATATATATATATATATATATATATATATATATACATATTAGTAAATGTAAATAAAATGGAAGAATATTTGCTTTATATTATAAGTTTTTTAATTTGTAATATTGTTTATGTTTTTGTCTTTATTGATTCTTTAATTACACTTTACGTATTTCTATTATTATCAATTTAATAATAGATAAAATTTTCTAATATGAAAATATTTCTTAAATTTAGAATCATTAAGAACGGAGATTCTATACATTTATAAATGTATCTAGTAAAAATATTAATTTTTAGAAACATAATGATTGAACAAATATTTTTTATAAAAATATAATAAATAAGTGGAAAAAATTGATTTTATTCTAATATTCTCTTTCTCGCTGTCTGTCCGTCCCTCTTCGTCCTCCCTCCCGCCATCTCACTCTCTCTCTCTCTCTCTCTCTCTCTCTCTCTATCTCTCTCTCACTCACTCATCAATTACCGTCTATATAAATAACTATATTTATAATAGTTTCAAGCTACAATGAAATTAGAAATAAAGATTGTTTGATATAATTATATAAAAGACATCGACAAATCAACAAAAAATATGTTATTATAAAACATCAATTATACAAATGAAACATACATCGCGTTGAGAATATTTTTACTTCAATTGACTAAAGCTAAGAAAAGCGCTAGAGTGAAAACATTTATAGTAGTTTATTATTCATCGTAACGCTCGCATATTGACGGATTGATTGATCACTCATAATTTGCTTATTAATGATAAAATACTGCATGGTGAATGATAATGAAGATCATTTCGAAATTGCACGTTATTTTTATTTTTCATTCATTTTATTCTTGCAATTTTTGTACAGACGGAATTTCATGGCAATACGGAATGTTATTGTTATGCAAATAGATGCAAATAGATCATAAATTGAACGCAATATAACGTTAATGTTTTTTGCAAGCTTCTTTTTAAATTTATAGTATTTTTTAATTGTTCAATTTACTTATTTGAACATTATCATATCCAAAATGTTTATATTCAGCGGATATTCACGTACTATACTCTCGCTCGTATTATGAAATTCTATCGATCTAAGTTTTTTTTATATATCGTCGTTTCTGTCGATATTGCACTTTTCCCTATTCTATTCTTTCGATATAAACAATCAGCGATACCTTGGCAAACAAACGATTTTTCATTATTATTTATAGCTATTCATTGCTAACTCGAATCTATTGATTCGAATTTTTTCTATTACTGTAATAAATTATTTTGTAACATGCTTGTCGTGTCGTGCAACTTTTTGTCGCGAAGAGCACATACGTTTATTAAGGACGGGATATTACATTATCGATGAAATTATTAATAATCTAGCGCAATCCTTAAATAAAATTATACATAAATTTTATTCTACTTGCTACATAAAATACTATATTGCAATTGCATTAATAATACAGTTGCCAGCGTAATGTCTAATGAATCCGATTATCGAAAACATAAAAATGCTGTCGCTAATAGATACTCTTATATTATTTATCTCACATTAATTATAACAGCAGATCGTTTGTATTTTCCACTATTCTTTACATCTAATAGATAGTTTTTTATTTAGTAACACTGATGTACGAATAGCAAATGTAAAATCATTAAAATGATATTGACGAAATTATGCTAATTAGTAATTTAATTATCAAATAACTAATAAGACGCTTTGCTTATTCCTTTCAATCTTAATTAAGTTAAATTGAAAAAAACAAGGTTTATATGTTATTTCGTAAATATCAAAAGATTTTTTTCTGCCAAGTTTGCTCGGTAGTGTTTATTAAATTTTAATAAGATATCAATAATGGTTAATTGTATAGTTTTGTTCGTTAAATAATTAATATGTCGTTCAACAGTCTTTGAGCATTAGAAAAATACTCTCGAGGCTTCGCATTTAATTAATATTCTATATAAAGATGTCAGTCTGAAAAACTTTTCTATTTTTCATTCTATCGTTTTAATAAATTTTATAACTAATACAATTGCACATAATGAATACGCTTTAAAATACATCTAAAGCTTTTGCTAAATGCCGTATGATATTGGGCGAATTGTACAAGAGAAATGCAATATTTTTTTCAAAATTAAGCACGCAATGCCATTAAAAAAAAAAAAAAAAAAAAAAATGAATAAACGAGAGCATTTTCAAAGAAATTTTTAATAGTAAGTATTTCAATAAAAGCTAGTACGATGCAATACAGAATATAAGACATTTTATATTGAAATAAATGGAAATTTAAGTATCGGATACAAAAGTTTTGCGAAGCTGGTGCCACCATAACCTCTGTATATTTTACGTATTGGATGCTTAAAATTTGGCTGTTTATTTCCATTTAAATAGATTTTTTATTTATTTATTCTATCGACTTTTTGTTTTTTTTTTTTTTTTTTTACTAAAATACCACTTTTTACTTGATAATCGATTGCACCTACACTTTCTAGCTTTCTTCTTATTTATATAATTTTACATATGTATATTGTTTCACACAAACGTACAACTTTATCATATTATTTTTTATTTTTTTCCATCGGATGGCTATATTTTTTTTATCTATATATCGCCTACGGTTTTTCCTCCCTACCATTACCCTTTTAATACTTAACGTATCGATTTCCTAAAATAAAGCTACTACGACATAGTCAATGTGTTTTTCCTCACCATTGATATCAGTTTCATTCGTATTAATATTTAGTTAAATAATCGAATTTAAACATCGATCAATCGAAATGAAAAAATTAAATTTAGATGTCGATCACTGCTCAGTATTAGAAAACGATTGACTTCCCCTCGAAGGGATTAATTATATATTAATGTTAATCTCTCTACAAATAGTTACGCATTAGCGATTTATATAATATTTGACAAACTTATGAAAGAAAAAAATTATTGTCAAATCAATTATCAGTAAATTTTTAGTAAATTAAATTTTTTTAGAAAGAATTAAATTTTGTTTATAATTCAATTTATTATTATTATTATTATTATTATTATTATATTATTCAAATTAATAGAAAATTGAAATTTGTTACTTGAAAATTGAAATAATTAACCAGGGGAAGCGTTCCTTTAATTTATTTAAATTAAAATATATATATATATATATATATATATATATATATATACATAATGGAGCTTTAACTTGAAATATATGAAATTAAAAAGATTAATACAATGATAATATTTATCTAAGTAAATATAAAAAAATACAATTTGCCAACAAATTATAACTTTTTCATTAAGTAAAACGATTGATTTATGTGTAATTTTTTTATCAAAATACCTTTATCGTAAATTAATTTATCTACAAAATATTATATAGTAGTGTTTTTTCTTGTTTTTTTTTTTGTTTTTTTTTGTTTTTTTTTTTACTTTTTATTGATAACTTTTGCGCTGAATTAAACGAATGCTTCGTTAAAAAATTGCATTTATTTCTCAACATAAAAGAGAAATTATAATCCGATCGTTAGTCTCGTCCAATCGCACGAGCATTCTTTATAATTTGGCACAATAAATTATATAAATCCTTAGACGTTTTTATCCCTGACTTCCTTAATAATATAATTATAGAGGATGCGCGTTTGAATTCCTAAAGTGATATAAATGCGCATCCAACTGTATGAATTTTCTACATACATATTTCATTAGTTTTACAATTATAACACATACATACATCTATAGACATACTCCTGTACTACAGGAATATCGAAAAAGTATATGTATATTGAATCTAGATTGGGACGATTTATGATGTTACATAGTAGTAGTAGTAGTAGTAGTAGTAGGTTGTACACTGATTTTATAAGTTTGGACGAACTATTGATGTTTTTATTGGACGTTCCCAGTGAATTTCACGAGCTTCCAAGCTTTTAATACGTCATTTTGTGTACAAAGTATTTGTAATCATATGAAGAGTTAAGCCATATACGTCACAATAAGACATAATGTAGAATTTTTTTTTTTTTTTTTTTTTTGACATATGTAGATATTTTTAAATTATTTTTGTACTTTACGTTTTCGAATGTTTTGTTTCACGAATGACTATAATACAGATGAGCATTCCATTTTTAATTGTAAACTTGTACAATTGAATTTGTACACTAATAATCTGCCTTAACTCATTACCATTGTCACGATACAAGCATTTTGTAAATTTCAATTACTTTGTTAATATATTTAAGTATTTCTTAAAGGTGTCGTCGTTAAGAATATAAGCCAAATATGTAGTCATTTAATTATTCTATATTATTAGCCAAGTGAAACTTGAACATTTTAATGAAATTCAACTGCGAAATCGTCCATTCGAAACAACCACCTATAGAACACAGACAGGGTAATTCATAAGCCATAAAAATGATGGTCATATCAGTGCCGACGGCAGCGTATGCTTATCTTCAAAAAGTACTTTTGATTTTTCTAAAAAAGAAAAACAAAAAAACAGCAACAACAATAAACAAAAACAATAAAGAAAAACAAAAACAAAAACAAAAACAATAAACAAAAACAAAAACAAAAACAAAAACAAAATCTCACTTTCACCGAATCAGCCATTGGCTTAGATTATCAATTGCCTTTGCAAAGATGCGCAAGGATGCACGCGTACTCTCAACGGCAATAATCGAAAGTGGGGGAGAGTGGGAGGGATAAATAAATGTGCGCGGTATCCCGTGGTAAAGGCGAATGTTTGAGAATGCGTGTCTTAGAAAATGTGAGGGGCCAGCTGGAGCTTCCAGAGTGAGACCGGCCTGGCAAAGACAGTGACCTGGCCCTTCTCCTTGCCGCCGACGAGAAAGACGTAGAGGGGCGCCGGTCCAGGTGTCGGCCGATCGTTGCTTTCGTTGGCGGCCATTTTGGCTCGCTGACGTTCGGCCCGGGAGGCGCTTATGGCCCGGCGCGAGGGCGAGCCCAGTGGCAAGCTTTTGGGTGGCGCGCGAGGCCTCATCTCCTGGAGCTCGAGGAGCTCGGCGAATGTCTGGGATGCGGAGCGTCCTGGCTCGTCCTCGAGGACGCTGTCGGGCGGACTGTTGAGCATACGGGCGTAACGAGAGTCCGCCTGGGTACTGCCGCTGCCACCGCCGCTGCCACTGCCGCCACTGCCGCCACTCCCGCCACTCCCGCCACTCCCGCCACTCCCGTCGTTATTAAGGCTCGTGCTGTTCTCGAGCCCGAGGTAGTTCGGGTTGCAGAAGCCGAACTGGCCATCCCTCAAAGCCTGGGATCAAGCAGATTATGGACATTAGTCCGAGCGCGACGTTGACCCTTTAAACTTGCGAATTAACGGGTGAGCCGGGATTTGTAGCCGTTGATCGACCCGGATGAGTCAAGTCGCTCGTATGACTTGATTACTCCAAGCGGGTGAACGATAATTACTCTTGTCAAATTCAATAGGATTTTTGACATTAAGTATGATTAATGTATATTTATGATATTGCATTATTTGACGCCGAGTTCATTTAATGCAAAATATATCTGGTGATCAAGCAGAATTTAGTCTGGAGGTTAGTCGCGCTTGTTAATAGTATATTCATTATACTTGTATAGCATAGTTCCTGGGGTGGATTTCACACGAATTTAAGTAGGTCTTAGTCATCGTCCTGGCAAGGCAATTTTCATTGTAACCAAAGTAATTTGTTTGCGACAACTTAACATCTCTTACTTTGAACTCTATTACAAAGAGATAAAGCTTTTTTTTTTTTTTTTTTTTTGTGCCCTTAATCAGTAGAAATTGACACGAAACGAAGATATTTAAATTTCAATCCTCTAAAGAATTTGTTGTATTTTATTTTTAAGCACATAAAGCCGAAGATTTTTCACTCGAAGCATTCATTATTAACATCTATGAAAAACACAACAAAACGAAACAAAACATAATAGAAATAACTTTTAGTTAATAATTATGAATAAATATTCTCAGCATCTCGCATGTATAATTTATCAAAGGGCTTGAAGGTTAATAAAATGTCGGCTCTAAGAGCTTATGCCACCTCGATTGGCTAAGACGGTAACCTGAGACGTAGAAGATGAAGAGCCACGGTAGCTCTTGCTGCGCCTGCTGGGCCAATCCTCATCGGCAAGTGGATCCCCGGGGCTGCGCGCCCCTATGCTCGCGTAGTCGGATGTCGACTCCTCGCCCTCCTCCAGGTCGGCAAAACGGACGGATGCTGAATTGGGTAGCTTCGTGCAAGGCGTCTTGGGCGTCTGGACGGCCTCGTAAAGATGGGAACTGTAGCTCTCGCCGCGCGACGGTTGGCAAGCTTGATGGATCGAGGCAAAATCGTTGTTGAAGTAGTCGCAGTTGCTTCTTTTTATCGTATTTTTGCTGCGTATGTAATGAAAACTTGTATGTAGGATGGATCGTAGCTTTAAAAATAGCTTTACAAAGCTAATTTTATCCAAAGTATGCAAGTGTCTGTGATTTATGTTTAATATAATTTGATATGCGCGATATCTTCGTATGTGTAAAAGTACTAAGCCATTATACTAATATATTTTATTATATTAGTATTATATTACTAAGCAAAAGCGCTCCTCTCTGCGGAAGAAACAACGTGTGCATCAACTTTTTATAAAAATCACGTAAAAACTTATGTAAAAACACAATAAAATAAGATAATTGAAACTGCTTTACAATTTTATCATTATCAATAGACTCTTTTAATTTTGACAAACATTGCATTGAAACAATTTATTAACTAATTGTATTAATAAACGAATTATCTAAGCTTTCGCGTAAGTATTTATAATGCGAGAATTTTAATTCTCATCGGCTGAGCTTTATAAGTTAATGTTCAATCAGCAACGAATTTTACTTTATTCGATGTAAGGAGAAAGTTCCGTTAAATAGAAATGAAAAAGCAATAGATTCTGCCTTACTGTGAATAATTCGCAGACCACGTACGCTGCACACGACATAAGGCGAACTTTTTCAATAGAACAGAATACGGTGGAATAGAAATTTAATGGGAAATGAAACTTCAAGGGATAACGGAAACATGATTTCTCATTCGCCGGATGGTAGATACGCCCGACGCCTCCATCTATGCGCGACTGGATGATTTTAATTTTCTTCGTGCTTCGAACGGGTCTCGCACACATAAAGCCAATGGAGTCGCGGCATTGACGCAAACCCACCACTTCTCCTCCTCGGGTAGCTCGATAAGCTGACTGATGGCCGGGTTCCTGCGGCTGGCTTCCTCGTCGTCCGTGTCCTCGTCCGGATCGACGAAGACGAGACGCGCCGCCTCGACGGGCGTGAGCACGGGGGTGGGCAGCGCGAGAGTCCGGAAATTTGGCACGGAAATCGGTTCCCTCGTCATGCCGTTGCTCAGGAGGGGCTCGATCATACTGGATCGCGGAGGATCTGACAGCCGTTGACGGCGACGCGCCAGCGTGTTGGCGCTCCGGGACTTTACCATTCCAGTGGCCGGCTCCACCACTTCCCCGTCCACCTGTTGAAAGGGATAGTACGAGTTCGCCTGGGTGGAGGGCCCAGAGACTATCAGCTTCTGCTCGATTGGTCCGTGACTTTGTTGCGCCTCTACTTTATGAATAATTAATCGACGGAGCCTTCAGCCGTTATGGCTTCGGGGTCCGCACAATCGATTTAACCAGCCGACGTCTAATTTATCACCGTAGGCACATTGTTCGCGCGCGTTCTTATTGAATTTCCAAGCATATTGTATACACGAGCGTTTTATTATGGTCATTTGCATAAATGTAAAATATACGTCAATTTTAAAAGAGGATAAGCTGCACTTGAAAAATCACGTAGATTCAGAGAAAATTTCAATATAACAAATTATTTATCCATATTTACAATTACAAATATTAATAGCAATGTATCGCTATTATTTTTAAAGAATTTTACGTAATAATGTATTCAGTATGCATAATCTTGTTGTATTAATGAATTATCCATAATACGAATACCCATAATTCCTAATTTCTTATCGTAAAAAGTGTATTTTCATGTAAATGAAGTTATGATATTGATTTTTATTGCTTCTCTTGTGAATTGGAGCGTTGCATATATATATATATATATATATATATATATATATATATATCACACGGTACAAGCTAATACCCAAATACAATTTATAATTATCAACAATAAATAATTTAATAAGAGCACAAAGATAATGTAAAATATATTTTCGTTAAATACAAAATTTGTTAATAATTAAATTCGGATGAGTAAATGAATAATGAAGCTTCACGTTCAATGAACGACCGACCAGCCGCCAATACGCAGTCTTATCTCTCACTATCGTATCACTCGTTATTTCGACAAGAAAATGATCGAGTATAATAAATAAGTAAATTTTCGAAAATTCCGGAAAATAGACCCGACGGGACATGGGACCCGTACTATAGTCGCGCATACATACATACATATATATATATATATATATATATATATATAAAACAAAAAGATGGAGGAAAGTAAAAAAATTAAGAGTGGCGACTCACCTCCTGGGGGCTTTCCTGATCGTTGTCGTCGTGTGCGCTCAACACCGAGTAGCTGCACTTGTTCGGGTGACTGAGCCTCGACAGGTTTATCTGCGAGAGCTTGGATATCTCGCGGAGGAAGCTGGGGCGCGCAGGGGCCGGCTCACAGGGTGAGACTCGCCCGTAATTGCCGGAGCCCTTGGAGTAATTGCTCCGTTGGCTGCGGGCCCTAGTGCGGGTACATCCGCTGGCCACGTCGATCCCATTGCCGCGTATAAGCAGCTCCGAGACCGCGAGGGCGACACTCTCCGCCCGGGGCTGAGGCTTCGGCCCGGTAATGCTCAGCTTCTCCCAGGTTTCCGTGCCTGCGTAAGCAGCATCTGGATGGTTAGTGGGAATCCTGGCCACCGAGCGGGCAATAGAAAAGGCAAACTGACCAAAGTGAAACCTCCAGAGCTCGTTGGTCGGCAGTCCGCCGCTCTCGCCCCCGAAGATAAGCATGCAGCTTGGGAGGCGGCAGGCGGCGTGGCCGTGGAGGGGCCCGGGTCCTGGCTTGCTCCTTAACAAGGACCAGGAGGCCGCTTTCACGTCCCATCGCCAGCAGTCGCTACGCTCCTGCAGGTCCGTCATGCCCCCGTAGATGTACATGGCATCACCGTGAAGGACGGCCGAATGTTTGTGCCGAGCCGGTGGCCCCGCCTCGTATGACGACAGCAGATGCCAGGATTCCGTCTCTGTTACCCAACAATGCCAAGACTATCATTCGCCAACTGACTTACGCCCGATCCTCGGTAGAATGAATGGGAATGGGAGGAAGGTTGATTAGATTAAATGAGTGATATGAGCGACTGGGAGAGAGCTCGGACAAATTAAGAGTAGTTGAGCCGAGCTTCTCTTCTCTTCTCTTCTCTTCTCTTCTTCTCTTCTCTTCTCTTCTCTTCTCTTCTCTTCTCTTCTCTACAATACTATTCGATATATACTTTAAGTTATTGTGATCGAAAGGGCGCGATTAAAATAACACGATGATTTTTAAATTTTGATAAATAATGTGGCATTATGAAGGTGTGGACTTATGATAATATAATAATTCTCAATGTGTGAGTCCAATTCGGATAAAAATAATGCTTTCATAATTGTCCCGATGTTAGTTTCATTATATTTAGCGAACCCTCTAAGCATACACCTAATGGGTATCAAAATACGTGTGATAAGGGACATTAAACGACAAAAAAAAGGATCTAGCGCCTAATCCCGTACAAGCAATTGCAAAGAAAATCCAAAATCAAAAATGAATTCCGAGTAAATTGATCAAATGTAAATAAATGGGAGGGTCAAGATAATTCTAAAATGTTGAGATTAGGCAAAGTAAGTAGAAATCAATGTAAAGAAGGAAATATACAGAAGGAGCTTGCAATCAATAATGGGGGAGCCTCTCAACAACGAGGATACCAAGTAAGATTTATAATGGTCATTAAATAATTTATAGCATAACGTAGGTACATTTAACTAATAATTTACCGCTTATGATTAATTTACCGTTCGAGATCATAAACGAGAGGGAGAGAGTAAAGAAAGTATTGACAAATTGAATTCCGATGTGTTTTTATTACGATTTTTTCTATCTCTGTAAACTCCAAATGGATCATATATTTCGCGCATAAAATTCACGGAAGAGTGCAATTACGGCGTACGCGATCCATAAAAATCAACATTTTTCATACGATCCACGCGCATTGCTTGTTCCAATAATATTCAGGTATTCCCTTTGTCTTCAAAAAAGCAGTGTGATAACGCATAACGAGGATAAACGAAGCGCTTAGGGAGCGCATCACATCCTACAAGGGCTGCTTAAGTTGTAAGATGGAAGGCTAAATTGTTAGGGCTAATGTTTAGGGATATTTATTATAAAAATAATAAATATGCAGCGTAAGCTTTAAAAATGTTCAATATTTTACGAAATAGAGTAGAAAATTTCACGACAATCGTTAAAAACACTATACTGTATTAAGTTTCCCTTAGTAATTCTCGCTTCATCTACGGAATTTTCCAATCGCCTTTTTCAACTAGTGATAAATAATAAGTACGATTAATAAACAAATTTCAGAAAATGCTGCGTAATTCGATAGTAAATGGTTGAAGTTCTTGAAAATGACGTCGCCAGTGGTGTTTAAAGTAAGTTTTTAAACTTACTTTTACAACGTACTATAGGGATAAAAGCATTTTTCTTTCTTTTTCCGGAGCACCAAAAGCTTACCAAAGTGAAAAGCCCATAATTCCGAAGAACTGCCTCGTAAATCCTGGTAACCGCCATATATTAACATCTGCCCACGATGCACAAGTGCGGTATGACCTCGCCTTCCTCTAGGAACTGCGCATCCTTTTTGAGCTCGTATTTTCCTCCATGAATCCAACTAAAGGACAAATAAATAAATTATTATCCGCGTAACTCGTAATTTGCAGCGCAGGACTATACAGCTCCGCGAACTTCATTAAATTTCAATATTGGCAGTCACTTTTATTAATAAAATAAAACTCGTTTCCCAGGCTTCGAACGCGTGTGTAAGTTAGCCAATCACAAGGCCATAAACGATTCTATTAAAGTAATGAAAAAATTTCTATTCACCCAATGCGGTAGTTTCGTATCATTGGCATCTCTTTTAATACGACATTTACGATTCATCATTCGATATTTCATTGTGCAACGAGTAAATAAAAAATTACGAATTAACCGCTGACAAATGAATGCCCCAGGCCCGTTGAAATCTACTATTTACTACCACGAGTAAACACTCTCCATCGTCAAGTGTTTTAACCTATTTATAAAAAATAAAAAAAAAAATAAATAAAAATAAAAAATAAAAAAATAAACTAGCCATTCCTGCAAAATAAATTAACTCGACAAATCTCATCGTTAAGGCTTGACAAATCAGTTACTTAATTATGTTTTATAGGTTATCCTCTGTAATATGTATGATTATCACCTTAACCGAGTAGCACCAAAGTGGCGTCTCCGTACCCGCTGAAAAACCAAGCTCCCCGCCAAAAACGTAGATGCATTCTTTGTGGGCTACTGCGCTATGCTCCTGCAAGGCCGGAGGACGTTCCCCCGAAGGATGTAACTCCTCCCATCTGCTTTCCGCTAAAAGTAATGAGTTGGAAAAAAAAAATGGATGATTTTATAGATGTAAATCTATGGCCACGTGGGCTTGTCGTTTCGTTATATTTTATTGCGTGAATCAAGTCAAACGATGATTTAAAGTAAGTTAAAGTTCCATGTCATTTCAATTAAGAGAGGGATATAATTTAAATAATGATAAATTAAGAGAAGACATTGTCAACAAATCATTGACAGAATTAGGCAAAATAATGCAAGAAAAGTCAAAGTTAATAATCGTCGAAGCAGCGGCTTTAGCAATATCAACGTTTATATAATAAATTTTTAATCTAATTATTAATATAAATACGGAATAAATTTATCCTAATTCTTAAACTACTTTTTAAGCGAATTTACCAATAATAAAATATTCAGATTTTTTGTCATTAAATACGAAATGTTATAGGAATATTCAACGTTATTCGCCTTTTAAATAAATACGATACTTACCATTAAATCTTTGTTACGCGTAAAGGAACAATATAAAAATATATGCACAATAGGCGATTATATATATTTTCACATACAAAATTATTTAAAATATTATTTACAATTTAAAATATAAAATTTTAAAATGCGTTTTTGTACGCATTTTCCATTCGGTGGAATTTTAATAGGAAATGTTTCCCTTCCTCGGCAACTATGACAATTTAAATATGATAATAAATTATTAAACTTTATATGTTAATGCGAATGCATATATAATTGATATTGCATTTATAGAATAATGCTATGAAGATTACGTAGATCTATTCATTCGAACTATAACAACAAGAGCTATTGAAAGTTTTATAATCGTGAAATATAAATATTGTATACAGCATTTAAGGCATTAACAACATATACGAAAAAGGGAAAATTTTTTTGAATTATGCGTTTTCAATTGTGAAGACAATAATCTAGGTTGAATGTAGAAGAATACTTTAATAATTAATAATTTCTACATACAAAAGATATACAGCAAGAAATACTTGCTGCTCCGCTATTCATTTACGATATTAAATTATGTCTATACGAGTCACTATCAAAGTTAATATGCAATACAATAATAATCCATTATACGGTTATAATGTTAATCTTAATACTGCACTTTAATAATTATATTAATTTACAAAAGAGCGAAACAAGTTTTATAAAACAATTGGCAAGAACTTAGATAATAATTAAACAAAGTGATTATACAACTTACAACTTATTATACCTACAGTATAACATATTTATATCAAATATCTTATTCACTTTTTACCTTTACACGCTCAATACAGCTATCGTCTATGTATTAAAAGCCCTCGAAAAATGCTTGCATAAGTGCTTGAAACTAAAGACAACAAAAGCGTGAAGCGATCACCAAGAGATAGGCGTACGTCGCAACTGGATAACTCCACCGGCGACATTATAATTACTCTCTTCTTTCATAAAACTACTGACCCCATAAACGACATTATGAAACCAGAAGGAATGCAATGAATTCTGGCAAAACAGTGTGGGAAATTAATGATCGAATTCGTCATGAAACGTAATTTTAACGTAGAATAATGTTAATTTAAAGCAGTTATTCCTTATAAATAATGGTAATTCAACAATAAATGAAAATTATTTTAATTCAAGAATACAGGGCAATTTATCGATCAGATGCCTGCGAGTACTCCAGAGCCATTGAAGAATTTCGAAAATTATAATAACAAATTTATCCTTTAATCCAAAATCTTACATACAACTAAATAATCTTATGGGAATAAGAATTAATTTCTTATTTAATATCAATATAAAGTTCTTATAACATTTATTAATTATTTCATTCAAACACTAATCCTAATAATATCGTTTAATATTATTTTATGATATTTTATACGCATCTGCGCTTCAAACAATGCGCTTCACGCACGTGTGTTGTATTATAGAATATTGTGTCCCGTTATGCTATTATTTTGTGCTTGAAAATTATAAATATCGGTGTTAATACTTAATGCAAAAAGAAAAATGAATGGAAAATTTAAATAACATTTTAAGGATGTATTTATTATTCTTAATTGTAATAGTCAAGAAATTTTTATTCTAATTATTATTAATAAACAGAGACCGAATGAAAAAAATTTTATACAATGAGATTATAAGACAATTTAACGACAAAGAAAAATGTATTGAATTAACGTGTTTTATCAATTATTCATTTAATATTCAAGAAAATATTGGATAGAATAATAAGCAATTAAAAGCCAAATTATTTAAGCTTATTGAGTAATAATTCAATTATCAAACCAATAATAAAGTTATGATATTTAAGCGAGAATTTTTATTCTTCAATGTAATTGTATATTTCCTTTTTAAACTATTTTCTAAATGCTGAACTATTTACAGACTTTAAAATAATTACGAAATCGTAGTTCGTAGCCATCCTAGAGTTACGTCAGACTAGAACTGTAATATTTAATAACTTCCAGAACCATGACCTACTTGAAACCAAAATATACTTGAACAAAATAAAGGAAAAATATATATAATGTTAATGACTCACACTCCACTCTCATTTGATTTAAATTTTATGTACATAATAAAATATTCTTAAATTAAAAAAAAAAAAAAAAGCTTACTTTATACAGACAGAGTTTGTTAAATAATATATGAATGTGTACATTTTATAAAATAATAATTGATTGAATATGGATAGGTGTGTATGTGTGCGTTTAATATTGAAAATAAAAACATAATACACGAGCATTTAAAATCAAATAATTAAAGTTTTTGTTAATTTGTCACGCATTTTTAATTACTATGTATTTATTTATTTTTAATATAAAGATGATTGCTAACCTTTTATGTTTTTTTTTTTTTTTCAATTATCAAATGTTTTACGCTACTAAATTACCTTAAATTCGTATGGTATCGGAGAAAATTGATTTCATTGATTTCCCTTGAATTATTTTCTTAAATAAAACCTAATTAAATTATAATACAAAGATTATTCTCATCTATCTTAATACAAACTAATAAACGTAGCCATTTTTATAAACATTTCACTGCTAAATAATGACAATAAAGGATCTTACATAACTGATATTAATCTGTCATATTACTCGGATAGTAATAAAATTAATTTTCTCTGACACATATTTCTACACGTTTTAAAGGCGAAATAATAACTCTCCATCGTCATTAAAAAATACCACTTTATTAAAATTTAACACAAAACTTATATAATAGAAATAATATCTAAAAGACAATGAACGGTAAATGAGACGAAACTCGGTTCACTCGTTCCACATTTTCATTAAAATTTGACATTCACCGAAAGATGAAAAGATTCACAACAACATAAATGAAAGTAATCCGTATATTAGTTGCCCTTTTTACACTTCTTAATGCAACCACAAATATGTCCCGGCTTATTTTTATTGCGTTTCTTAGCCGGTCCAACCCTGGGAATATTTGACTTCGGACAGGTGCCACAGTTTCCCACGCAATTATCACAATCACAGCAACTTGGTAGGCTCGGCTCCAAGTTCTTAGAACTTTCGATAATACGATAGTGGCCTTTCGAATTCTTTTCTACCAAGCCGAACTCTTCGAAACGCTTCAGGATATTTGGAACCTGAGGAACCATTTAACATTTCTGTAGCAACAACTCCACTCAACTATGGCTATTATACGATAATTATATATAGCCTAATTCAAATTTATAAATACCAATTTATTAGTTATAAATTATGCATTTAAATAAGTCGATTGAATCATGAAATAGATAGTGAACGTCAATTATATATAAATATTATAGATTTAATTGGAAAGTGTCTGCGGTCCGCAATTTATTTGAATAAATGTAATTTGGTTCAGAATACTCCTACTTCACGGTATAACGAACATTCATATGTATAAAGTTGGAAGAAAAAAAAATTATTTTTATTATTAAATTACTCAAGCTACACCAATTTCATCATTGTCAATGATTATTTTCGCCTGATTAATATTAATAAAACCGAATCATTAATCGACTAATAACTATTAATTATCTTTATCAATAAGTGACGCGTTTGAAAATTTTTCCAGAAAAAAAAAATGCTATCAATAAAAGTTCAATAATACAGAAGTTTATCAAGCGAGAAAAAAAAAACTGTTTAAATTAAAAAAAAATTCTTTAAAATTATATATTACATTTCACAAGGCTCGTAAAATCTTAAGATCCTAAATTTAAAATAAGTTCTACATTTAAAATTTCCTTTATAATAAACAATACTAAATGTATAATATATATATATATATATATATATATTTTTTTTTTATTATTATTATAATATTGATTATATATCAATTATGATATTAATAATATAATTATATATTTTTTAAATTTCTTAAAAGGACTTTAAATTGACAAAATTATGGCCTTAACATATTAATACATAATAATATCCATTTTAATTGATTATATTCATGGCATTAATTGTTTCTTTATTAATTTTAATTTCAAGTGAAAAAATTCATGATATTTCTTACAAATTAATTATTTTTTTTTTATCATTATCATCATCATCATCATATATATATATATATATAAACTTTTTTAATATAATATAACTTCTATTAACATATATAACGCAACTATTAATCAACATACGTGAATTCTAAATCATTCATGATAAAAAGTATCGATCTATTTAACTAAATTTAATCTTGTTTTTAAATTTAGTTTTCACATTACCTGACGTTTTAGTTCCTTCTGAACATTTTTTCGACTGGTTAATATGTACTCTAAGATTTTTTTTTCCGATAAAGAATTTAATTTCTTCATTATTATTTATTAACTATCTTCGTATTTCTCGAGTTTTTATTCTGCATGTGGAAATATTACAATTAATTACATATCCAAAACTAACCTTAATGTGAGAAATAATATAACTTTATACTAACATTTTTGTCCACAAATCCATTACAATTTCTTTGAAAAATCAATAAACAAATTGTTTATTGAAAATTTGAAGCTTATCTTTCAGTGTTCCGAATTTTTATTTTATTCAAATTCAATAATATTACAAGTAACACGAAATTTTAAATCGTCAAATCGTAATCATACGTATAAAACATTACTGGATTGGTGGAACAAAATCGAAAGACAATAGAAATCAGAGTTATGTGTAACTTTACTTTTCAGTGTAAAAATTTATCACTTCTCAATTTTATAATGATTATTTTGATAAAATTATAGAGTATGCGATTATAAAACCGTTATATTTGTATTACTAAATTCATTTATTACACTTTAATATTATCTTTAATAATTTTTTAATTTATTAAAATATTACCACTTTAGAATTACAATTACAACTGACCTATGGTAATTAAGATTACATATTATATATTATAAACATTGCGATCAACTAAATGTATTTTATTAAATTATAGTTTCTTATAATTATGCTTCCGCCGCAATTACTAGATTATATTTCAAAATACATCGTTTTCAGCAATATTATTATGTAGTAAGGTTGCAAAAATTGACGATACTTTATAATTAAAAATTTATAAGCACGAAAATTGAAAAGAAATACTCCAATGAAAAAAGGTAAATTTAATGCTTAACACGAGATTAACCTTTGTAGAGAGAGAAAGAGATGACGACCCATTGGGTGATTCGAAGTTTAAGTACTTAATTAATGTTTGTTATGATCATTCGAATAGGAAAATATATTATGATTTTCCGATACATATAGATAGAAAATCGATATTTAATAGACGCGATCATTAGGTAATGTATGGAGGCTTTCCGAAACAAAGGTTTCTACCTTACGGTCTAAAATTCTCGATCAAGGCCTTCATTACAATAAAATGTTAAACTTTTGGCATGAAAATGGCAATTTACCTACTTTTAAATGCAGATTAGCCGGATAAGACTTTCAATCGCTTTACCAAGTGGGGACTAAAATTATTATTTAATAGGATTATTGGTAAAAATAAGTATTACACATTTACCCGTAACAAGACGACAGATATTTTCAGATAATGGTATAATACATTTTTATTATAAGTGATAAAGTAAAAATAGATGAAAGTAAGTAAATAAAAAAAATTATCTGTATAGATATTATATAATATAAGAGTAATAGTAGATTGAATAAAAATTTGCTGAAAAAGACAATTAAAGCTATATCATTTCAGAAAAATTCAACATATCCAAAAATTTCTCATCTACAAACTATTGAATTACGAGTTAAGCTTATCCTCACATAAAACCTTGACAATTTCGAAACAAATCCTAATAGACTTTATTCATAAATTACGCCACTCTGTTTATTTGAATATTATCGTCTCATCGTCATCTAATAATTATTCTAGTTCATTATTTAAGTTTATTTAATAGTACAGTTGAGATTTTATATACACCTTTTTTTATTGTATTATTTAGATTATTTAACTACTTATCTTGATAATAACTATTTGTATAAAACTGCGTACAATTGATCGATTCGTCATTTCATGTAAAAATTCAACTATTCGTGTCATTCGTTTATGTTAAAATTATACCGCAATAATTTGTATTCTTTATGAGACTTTTATTGCAATATAGAGCAAACGTTTACATTTCACTATATTCTTAATTATTGATTATGATCTTTAAAAAAAGTTTTTAAATAACAAATATCTCACATATCATTATGATATGGTTATTATTGAGCATCCAAGAGAAAGAAATTATTCGACCCAAGAAGTCTTTATACAAAATATCCTGATGAAACAAAATCTCTTGATCAAATTTTTCATTGTTAATTAAGTAGTCGTAATTCTTTGTAGGAGTATAATTAGATAATTAGATCGTAACAAACAATTGAGTGTAGACATTATCGCAACAAAACAAGTGCAACGATGTAATTTTATGGAACGAGTAAATTCCAATAGTAGGCAAATAATCTCGATTGTTATGTGTTATATAATATATTGGATCAACTTATAGTTAATATTATAACTATTTTACTTATAAGTATATACTATATACTTATAATAATAATTATAAATATATTCAATAGTTATTTTAAATATATAAATATTTAATTATAATTACAATTACGATTTCCTACGAAAGACGAATTACTCATAAAGAATTTATATAAATCAAAACACATATTAAAACATCATAAAACATCTAAATCTTCATAGAAACAACATGTTTGTAAATTTTTATACGAGTATCTAATTTAACGAAATCCGTCTATGAAAAAGAGCAAATCATTAATACTCAATTTAATACGTATGAGTGAATTAGCATTTCTCATTTCATTTTTATCCTAATCTACTATTCTAATATTCCTTAAAAATTACTTATTGTTAAAATTAATTTTATTGTCACAAAAAGTACTTTGTATATTTATTTAAATAAAAACTCAGCGTAGTATATTTTATTAAATTTTTAAAAATCTATTTATATTATTTTCAATGTAAATCCTTGAAATGTAACCCATGATAATATCGTTTGTCACGTATGCGATGTTGCGTGGGTGTCTGATTTCGCGCTACGATTATTTTATGAGGACGCGTCCAATAGAAGAATGCTCAGGTAGATTTAGATGTAAGGAGAAGATCTGTCGCCAAGTCAAAGGTCTCGTCTCGAATTCGATTCCCCAAAGAGTAAGAGTCGTGGACTTTCATCGAGTCTTTCGCATTTTGGCAGAATCTACACGATTTTTTTTTTTTTTTTATTAAATTTGATAAAGTTTCTACAAAAAAGCGTTCATTTTATCAATGCATATTATTTTTCACCTTTTAGACTTTTGCAAAAGTAACGTACTTTTGTTATAAATATCTCAAAATAACTTTACAATGAATTTCTTTATAAACATCAGTATGAATCTCTTCAATTGAGTCTCGTGCATAAATCATTGATAATTTGTAGCAGTGTGAGACAAGAGTGGACATGATTTTCGAATTATTTATCGATTTTCAGCCCCGAGAGGCAGTGAGGGAATGGGAAAAGAAAGAAAGCGCGGGATGGAGAGGGGGAGGGGGGAGGGGGGAATGTGTGTACGAGAGTAACGGGAGAACCCGGCCACTTTATTCTTGTAGTAATTCCCCCTGTCTAACAATACTCTTCAATAGACGACTCACGAAAACTGGATTAACTTCCGTCGATGGAAAAACTCAGCTTACATGTTGTATAGAGCATAAGGAGGAGTACTTACCGAGGCTATAGCGCCAGAAATCCTTGAGGGGCAGGTTGCCGTTCCGACCACCCAGGAGGTAGACGTGGCCGGTGAGTAACGTTGCACTATGTTTGCTCCGGGACGGCGGCGCTGGTCCGTTTTCTGACCCGGTGGACGTCACCGAGCTCCACATGACTTGGTGCTTTCCTGAAAGTCGAGTCGATAATTACATTCTCCGTACCCCCACCTCTTCTTCCTATCCAATTTCTAGTTATCGGGAAAATTGAAGGGGCGTAACTTTATATGCATATACGGCGCTGGTTTCTATATTATTTTCAAGCTCCGAGGATTTATCTTACTAGACTGGTAACCATTGTCTTGAAATTGCTTGGTACTTTTTCATTGTACGCGAATAAATGCGAGGAAAGCTAGTTATTTAAAAGGCAAGAAAAATAGGAATTCCCGGGCTTATCCACCCGAATAGGAATAATAAAAAAAAAAAAAACAGAACATTAATTCTACTCGTTCTTCTATCATTTTCATTCGCATCTTAGCATTCAAATTAAAATTCACAAACATTTTATTTCATTTGAAAAGCTACTAACTTTTCAATACTTTTCACAATGAATAAGATATGTTAGCTGTAATCATTTTTCTCAACGATATCAAATATATCTTAGTTGTTTGTAGTAATGTTACACAATGCAATAAATTTATTATAATTCAAATTATAACTACCTACTGCTGAAGAATATTTTAATCTCTCAAAAATTCTTCATCTTAAACTGACCGTTCATATCGACATCTTACTAGCCTCGTTCAATAAAAAAAAAAAAAGTATTTATATTTAGCCAAAAATTTATGCTACGTTGTAGAGATTTTTAATATTGTCATTTGTTATTTTCTGAAATATATGAAATCTATGTGAAGTACAACTTGGTGTATAGAATATCTCATCTTTAACATAAGCTTCCATTTTAATTTCATAAATAATAATAATAATAATAATAATAATAATAATAATAATAATAATAATAATAATAATAATAATAATAAGATGTTATTTTATTTCACGTTTGTTGAATTTTCTCATGCTTATAAATATAGAATTCCAGTAGCTTTCGCTTCCAGAGTAATATACATGTCCCAAGCTTCACTTATTAGCTTCAATAATATTGTCGTATTATCTCAATAGTTATTGGTAATTCAATTTTTATATTTGAATATTAACTGACAGTTTGTTTAAACTATTTAAATAGTCAAAAAATATTTTTATATATAATAGGATTTGCAGAAGCCTTTTAATCTATACGCTAATTCTTTCTATTCGGTACGCAGTCCAAATATATGAAAATAATATTATTTTTAAAAGTATCCTCGTCCATGAATTAACACTTACTCTCAGATAGAATAAAAATGTTTGTTTAACGAAGAGATGTAAGGTAAATAACCAACAAAAGAAAATCTCAACGGCAAATAATTTCAATTCCGACCGAAATATCTACATAACGCATAGTGAAATGAAACCGGCGTATAATAGCAGTCCTTGTATTTTCGACCCTTGAAGCTTTTACAACGACCGATGAATTACAAGTAGTCACTTGACATACAGATATGCATAGCTCATATAAAAAAAAAAAAAAAAAAAAAAGAAATGAAATGACAGAAAGAAAAAGAATAAACAACAACAAAAAACTCGCTCTCTGGAGAAGAGAAGGAAAATAGGGAGACGAAGCCAGGAATAATTAAGAGCGGCGCTTTCCGCAATCAGGGAGCTCGAGGTGGCACTCGGCCCCCAACCAACACAATCTCACTTGGATGAAGAGACGAACAACCTTAGCGAAGGTAACCTGCTCTTGCCATTCAAAGCGGGACTAGGTATTTTAAGGGCAAAGGAACTGGTAGGTCACCGACTAAGTACTCGCGTAGCAAATTCTTTACGCTCGGACAGCCTCCCTAATTAGCTATTTTGCTCTCTCTCTCTCTCTCTCTCTCTCTCTCTCTCTCTCTAAACCGCGTGCGCAAAAAATGGGACCTTATTATGGCCTTGTTTAATTTAAATTAGGCAGAAGATTCGGTATTGCGACAATTACGAAAATTAAACTGCAAGACCGCGTTTGGCCTATTTATTTATGCGGGAGAATATTTGGCGATGAGTAAGAAAACATGTGCCGATAAATTATGAATCAAACAGTTATTGGCATTTAATTGTCATACCAACAGCATAATGATAAGATTAGTAAGTACAGAGTGATTGGAAAAATGACGGATGTTAAAGAAATGAATCCGACTAATCGGCTTTAAATGCTGAATGTAATGCTGACGAGCAATAGTGGCGACAGTGATTTTATTTTCGAAAAATAATCTATACCCACATATCACTTATAATAATAATAATAATAATAACAATAATAATAATAATAATAATAATAATAATAATAATAATGATAATAATAACAATAAGGATTTTTATTGGTTGAGTAGTGATGTTAATTGATTCTGCTGTGTTGTTTATGAAAAGGTTTTCTGGAAACACAAACGTCCTTGATATTCTTCATAAATATTTGAAAAAGCTTATCGTTATATTTATTAGCAGCATTACTATAGCGTGAATAATTCAGTAAAATACTTTATAGTATAATGGATCCGTAAGTAATTATCTATTTACTAAACACCTTTAAATATAAAACGTGAAATACAAAAAAATAAAAAAAAGTATCTTCTGGTTACATACATACACCGCTCTAAAATGTTTAAGCGACAATGTGAATCTTACACTAATTGTCGAACAATTAGTGTAAAAATAATAACCATATAAAAAAAAAATGAAAAAGAATATTAATAATATCAGTATATAAAAAAATGTACCAATTCATTCAGCATAGCTTTGATATTAAAATTCTACAAATAATAAATGCAAACAAACATACAGGCTAAAGCATGAAAAAAAACTCGAGAATTCAGATTCTGATATATTAAAGAAGTCAGCAATGTAAAGAAAGTCAAAGTGGGCGAGACGCGGGAGAGAAAGTTGAATAAGATGGCAGAGAGAGAGAGAGAGCGAGAGAGAGAGAGAGAGAGAGAGAGAAACGTGTCGAGCATTTTTTTTATAAACGACTTCTGGGCATAAGGTATAAGTACATTCGATTTGCATGATTCCCAAAGAGGAAGATTACGCGTAAGATCCTCGCTTTCAGTGAAAAAAAAAATGTAGTTTAAACATAGTATATTATTGCGTAACAATAACAATGATAAATTTATAGATCTTGGGCAAAATTGGATACGCAATAATAAATTTTAAAATGATAAAATCAAATTTCTGTTAAAACATTTAATTTCATTTAATGCTTTTTTTTTCAAGATTTTTATTAATGTAAATTTTTTAAATAGAAATGTATCGATAAATTTAAATCCCTGAATTTTAAAAGTGATAAGCCACTACTTTCTGGCAACTCTTTAATTTTAAAAATTCATTTATATACTAATAATCGCTATGTAATTAAGAAATTTTTTTTAACTCTCTTAGTACAAAGGTATTTAAAAACCTGCCCAATGAAACTTGAAAATAATTAAGAATAAGCAGACTGTAATTTACAGAAATAATTATAAGAATTTGCATATATACGTAAAATGGTATATAATGTGTCTCATGAAAATCTTATATTTAAATTATGAATTTGAAATTAAATTTGAATGTAGGAAAATAATGCGAAGCCCCAGAAAGGCAATGAATATTATATGTTGAATTTATTTTTTAATTGAATAAATTGTTCCTTACTGAATTATTAACATCTTGTTAAATCCATGCATGCATGCATGCGACCGCATGCCCCTTATCATTATTATGTAAACACTTTTACACTTTTACTTTTATTATTTTAATTAATTTATTAGAATACGAAAGAAGAATAGGCAGTTGTAGGCATACGACAACAACCACGCATCAGCGACAAAATGCTCGACCACGGATTAGCTTATTAATAAATTCGATTTTATGCTTTCAATTAATTCTAATTTTTAAGTTAATCATAGGACTATAACGCGGAATTTCATTATTCGAATTTTCATTGTATACCACATCGTACTCGCCACATTCACCGCTTATTCCGCAACACTTATATATATATATATATATATAGAGAGAGAGAGAGAGAGAGAGAGAGCGAGAGAGAGGCAGCGCCGACGAGAATAAGAATACCGACAGCATAGACGTGACGCTAAAGGCCATTAGGCTTTTAAATAAAGTTGAGCCAAGAAATTGAAAGAAAATGAGATCGTCACGAGCCATTGTTAAATAAAGCTCCGGGAAGGCAAAAAATGTCACCCAAGCGGATGATATTTCCTACGGAGTTGGAGGGCCGATGCAACAGCAGGGAAAAGGGTGACTCGTGGAAAACTCGTTCACCCGGAGCTCGCTTCCAAAATCCCTGCGGCCATAGACAACTACTGGAGGATCATCCTCCACGTCCACTTGACTCTACGCTCACATTTCACAGCTAGATTTACCGTCTTCCTCGCGCACCTTCCGATGTCGAGGCGGAAGAAGCGAAAGAGAGGAAAAGGCTTTTTAATAGGCTTAGCCGGCAAACTTCGTGAGCCCTCAATCTCGTTAGCCCCGGCGCGACTCTGCAACTCGTGACCCACATGGAAACGCCGATTAATCACGACTAAGCGCGCATTTCTGTCCTCCTCGCTCACTCTCACTCACTCTGTGTACTTTACCTCGCACGCACTTTGACCCCGTCTCATTCCATTTACCTGGCTGCATTGCGAAGGTGTAACCGCTGTGCTCGCGCCACTACGAAAGAACCCAAAAGAAAAGAAAATTTCAATGCAGCAGGGCTTTCCCTCGGCTCGAGTACGAGGCCGTTAAGCGCTTTTGTGCCATATGTTTGTGTGTGTGACTGCGCCTGTAATTACTAAAGGTTTATTTGTTAATGAAACAAAAAGTGCCCTATCTACTACCCTTCTCTAATCTACTTTTTGGTATTCATTAAGTAATGTATTCTTCTATCATATAAATTCTAACATAAATTGTGTATTAAAAGAAAAATTATCAACAAAAAAAAAAAAAAAAAAAAAAAAAAAAAAAAAAAAAAAAAAAAAAAATCATTATTCAATGGAGTATTAAATGGAAATGCCATTTCTTATTATAATTTCAAGAAATAATAGCGATATGTCTTCTTCTTCTTCTTATATGT